AAGATCCTAAGGCCAGGTGAGTACAAAGTCTGTCAAAACACTATGATATCATGGGAACTTGAGATTGTCCATAGGAATGTCCATCATTGATTAGGTGTTTCACATTAGGTGTATGGAATAGGGGGAAGGACGCAGTGACCACGTTGTATGTGATTATTGTAACAAAAAATGTATAAAAATGTTGTATTTCACTATAAAAATCAGAGTGTTTCATTGGTTTCTCTTCTGATCTGAGCTGTAGATTAAGAAAACAACTGGGTTCTCAAGTTGAGGCCAGATTTGGGGAAATCATTTGGCCCTCTCCCTGCAGTAACTGTTTGTTGCTTGAATAAATTCTGTCACTTGCCTGAATCCTGCCTGTTTCCTGAGTCTTTGTTCCCAGTCGGGGATACACATGTTATTAGAGCATTCACTTAAATGTGGTCTGAGGGAGGGTCACTCGACCCAAAACATTGGCTCTGATTTCTCTCTGCAGGTGCTGCCAGACCTGCTGAGCTTTTTCAGCAATTTCTGTTTTTGTGGCATGCAAGTGTGTGTGTGTGTGTGCGTATGGCCATTGAGAACGTCGTCAGGCTAGGATGTTATTTCCCTTTTCTCTCTTTCACTTAGGATTTCTGAACCTGTTTACCCTACTGGTTCATAATCCATTAGGTGAATGAACAGCAATTAGGACCTCGGCTTACACATGAAAATTAACCTTTGGTGAAGTAATGGGGGTCTCCTGAGTGTTATGGAACTTCCCACTCAGTTCACAGAAGGAAACTGCGGAAGCAAGAATAAAGACAAACAGGAACATCCACGAGGGATGTCGTTATTTCCTCCCCTCTTTTGATTTCCCATAGACTGGCCACTGGTTTAGTGGGATTGTGGAATTCCGTCCATCTGGTAAACTGATACAGTTGGTGACATTTCAATTAGCTGTGCAACGCTGCTGTATTTGCTTATCAATATAACAACCAAGTGTCATCACTCAACACTTTGTTTCATGCTTCTCCTACATGGTGATCTCCTCGCAGGACCAAAAATTCAGTCCATTGAGAGACTCGGCTGTCCTTACCAGCACACCAGATAGCTGAGTCTCGCCACTGATGGTAATGGAGTTGGGCTGGGAAAACTAGATGGAACTATTGGATGTCATTTCAGTTCATCATGATGATTAATTAAGTGAGGTGTCCTGATTTCGCTGCTACTACAACTGAAAATTATGCTATTAACTCATAATAACCCAAACCTTAATCTTATCCCTGTGGATTGAAGCAATAAAGCATCCCTTATGGCAAAACCAGATGAAATGTCACTGGTTCAAAAAAGACCCCACAGGCATAAAACATTCGAGCCAAGTTTTTGCATTGTTATGTAAATGTACATTACATGAGTTACTACATTGTTAGAGGGGTTGATATGTTATTAAGGCAAAAGCTTTCATGGCACCATTCATCTTGTGTTTCTATCAACAACTAACACCACCAAAATCAGTTTCTGTTTGTTTGTTCGTTCGTTCGTTCGTTCATCATGTGTTCACTCACCACTCAACCACTCAATAACTCATTCACTGTCCCACTCTGACTGCACCAAATTCAACTTAATTGGTTGTTCATTCATTTCCTCAGTCATTCTCACATCCACTCGCCCACTCACTCTCACATTCATTCTCATAAATCACATTGGTTGTTGCCTTTATCTAGTCAACAACAATGACTTCAGTTCAAAATTTTGTAATTTCTAAAGTTCTTTGACATATTCTGAGGATAGATATTTCCTTACCAACCTGTTCAGAGATGTTCTGGCACACATCTGAAGCTGATGGCACTTGAATCTGGACCTCATGGCTCAGAGGTGAGGACACTACCACTGTGTCACAAGAGCTCTGAGGATTTTTTTCCCTCGGGTATATTTTTGAGGATTTAAGGCACTTCTTCAGTCAGGTTCAGCTTTGTGAAAATGGGGCATTAGTTTTGGTCTAGGTATCTCTGCACAAAGTTGTGGAAGAATGCAAAAGAGAGGATTCCCTGGGTAGTGCTGGAATGGATTTTTAAGGATTTAGGAGCAGATTAAAAATTCACCAATTTTGAAATAAAATGAGAGTCTTGGAATAAAATTAATTATTAAGGTGAGGCAGGTTCATGCTCTTGCAAATTTGAAACCAACTTTTGAGTGGCAAGTAGACCAGAATGAATTAGTCGGTTCTGGTCACTTAACAAAGACTAACCAGAGAGTTGATCTAACAGAGCAACAAAGATCCAGACTGTTGCCACCACCAAACACTCTTCCCTTTCTCGTCCTCTCAGCCTCTGAAGGGACTACAACACTCTATTTCTCTATCAACCTTTTACACTCCCTCTGCCACCTTCATATGAAGGCACAGGAGATGTCTTTTTAGCTTCTCTCTTGGTGATGCTGCTTTGCTATTTATATCTCTAGACACATCTTATGTCCTTTACTTGTTCTGCTACCATCTCACTTTGCTTTCATTTTCATTACTGTTTTCACTTAATCTCTCCGGCATTCTGCCCTGTCACAAATCTTGTGTGTTTATTCTACCCTCCACTTCTCCGATTCCCTACCTGCTCGTAAAAATGGTAACCTTCCTAAGTGCTTTGAGTTCTGATGAATAGTCAGTTTAATCCCAAGTTGCAAATAATTTTTGGAAGGCAGCAGTCAGTAAGTAGCATGTCTCCTTACTCTTAGCAAGCAGGTCGTCTATGTCGCATTGTTGTTTGAATGTATTACAAAATGCACATTTTGTGGGTTTAACTATTCTTCATTATAACACCACTGAATGTACAAAATGTACGCAAAACTGTACTACAAAGGTGAGTGTTTTATTGAGTTTAAACCAACAAATATTTGGATTACAAATGGGCTGTTGAACAGTGACACTGTTGAGTATATTGTGCAAAGTATATAGTTACAAGAAACTTAGTCATTTGCATGTTTTCCTTGTTGAAACAAAGCGGTTTTGGCAGAAACATGCTAGACCTTTAAAGCTGACCTCTCCCATTTTCAGTTAGTATTTTGTCAAAGTGAGATCCATGACACCTGGTCTCCCAGCTCAGAGACTTTCACCTTAGTGGGTATTCTATTTAGATTAGACACAGGAACCCTCTAGGCTCAAATGTCCCAGGGGACAGTTGCCCAATTCTCACAATTCAACAGGCCCATCCACATCTATATTCCAAGTGCAGAAACTAGGCTTCCACTTAGGCGTAGTGGGAGGAAGAAGAAAACTTACTGAGGGCACATACTTACTGAGGGCACACACTTAGTACAGATTCTGCTACATCATTGTAAATAACAATATACAGCATAGAAACAGACCCTTTGGCCACCATGTCTATGCTGACCAACAAACAAACTGCACTAATCCCTTTTATCTACTCTTGGTCCATAGCCTACTATGCTCTGGCATTTTAGGTATTTATCCAGATGCTTCTTAAATGTTGCAAGACTACATGTTTCCACCACCCCCTCAGGCAGCAGGATCTACACACCTACAACCATATGGATGAATAAATGTTTCCTCACATCTCCTCTGCACCCATTCCAATGCAACCATGTCCTGATAGTGTGGCAACCAGAACTGCGCACAGGGTTACATCTGTGGCCTAAGCAGTGTTTCATAAAGCTGTAGCAAGATGCCGTTGCTCTTGCATTCCAGGCCCTGGCTAATGAAGATAAGCATCATATATGCTGCCTTCACTGCTCTGTCTATCTGTGCTAACGACTTCAGGGATCTTGATTGAGTTTTTTGATGAGATAATCAAGAAGGTAGATGAGGGCAGAGCTGTAGAGTTTGTCTACATGCGCTTTAGTAAGGCCTTTGATATGGTTCTGCATGGTAGACGGGTTAGGTTAGATTGCATAGGATTCATGGAGAGCTAGCCAATTGGATACAAAATTGACTTGATGGTAGGAGTCAGAGGGAGCTGGTAGGAGGGGTTGTTGTTCAGACTGGAGGCCTTTGACCAGCAGTGTATTGCAAGGATTGGTCCTCTGTCATTTATATAAGTGATTTGGATGAGGATAAAGGCATGGTTAATAGGTTTGGAGCTGACACCAAAATTGGTGGTATAGTGAAGAAGGTTATCTAAGAGTACAGTGGGATCTTGACCAACTGGGCCAGTGGGCTGAGGAATGGCGGATGGAGTTAAATTGGATAAATGTGAGGTTTGCATTTTGATAAGATAAACCAGGGCAGGACTTACACAGTTAATGGCAGGACCTTAGGGATTATTGTTGTTTCTTGAAGGGTCGTGCCACAGGTGGACAGGGTGGTGAGAAAGGCGTTTGGCACACTTTCCTTCATTGGTCGGAGCATTGAGTACGAGAGATGGAATGTCATGTTACAGCTGTACAAGACATTGGTAAAGCCATATTTGGAGTACTGTGTGCAATTTTGGTTGCCCTGCTTTGGGAAGGACCGAAGGGTGTGTTTCCATTCAGTATAACCCTATTAGGAAAGGTTTGGAGGGATATGCACCAGGAGTGGGCAGGTGGGGCTAGTTTAGTTTGAGATTATGTTTGGCATGGACTGATTGGACCGAAGGGTTTGTTTCTGTGCTGTATGACTCTGACTCTCTACTGGATCCCTATAGATGAGAACAACATTTGGCTCATTGTAGTTTGTTATGTAAGAAAGACTGTGGAGACTGCGCACTTATACCCTCACCGCTCTAAAACCACCACCTTTAATTGTTAGGGTTGACCTCTATTTGTCAGTCCATTACAAGGTTTGATCACTGTCTGCAAAAATTTCCTGACACCACTGTTGTCTTAAATGTCTGGATTTGAATAATGAATAATGATGGAATTATGCTTGCCTCTATTGACACAAGGTCCTAGCTGTTCAAATTCCTATTAAAAATCAATAACATTGGAAGAATTCTTGAATTTTTTGTTCTCTTTGAAATATATGAGAGCTAGAGTTGTTGCCTTTGCACAGTTTGGGAATGCATTGTGCTTCTGTTTTCCACTAATGACTATTTTCGCTTTCTTTTCAGGGTGTTGGCTTGTCAGTGCATGGACACTTCCAGGTTGCAACAGAGAAAACACTGTTTGCTATGCCAGAGACAGGAATAGGTAAAACTTGTAAACTTTTCAGAATGTTTAATATATCAAAGTTTCCTGTCTGCTCATACATTTATTTTAGTAGATAAAAGTTTATATAGAAATAAATATAAAAACACATGTTTAAAATTTCATATGTGCCTCAAACCATAGAAATGTTACAGAGCAGAAGGGGTCATTTGGCCCATTTTGTCCATGTTGACCCAAACACATCCAGATGCCCTTTATATTCCCTTTTTCCTGTGCACAGCCTATAGCTCTGCTTAAGTGCTATAAGCTGCAGAGCACCAACTGCAGTACACTGCTGGTCAAAGGCCTTCAGTCTGAACAGTTACTTTTAGAAGACTGTGCACTTGCACACAAGGATCTCTCGCTTCATTCGTCCTCTTAGTTTATTTCACATTTATTGTTTGAACTCTGTATATTCATTACCTCACACTTACTAGAATTGACTTGCCTGCCCAATCCACCAATTCATACATATCATTTTGAAGCATACAGCTATCCTCTACACTATCCATTATATGGCTAATATTTTTGTCATCTGCAAATTTCCCAATTGTGTCCCACATTCAAGTCCAAATCATTAATGTATAAAATAAACAGCAGGGGTCCCAACACCAAGCCCTGCAGAACATCACTTGAAATTGCTTTCCATTTGCAAGGGTAACCATCAACCATTATCCTTTGTTTCCAGCTGTTAAATTTAAATCAGGTTCCCAACTACCCTTCTAGGACCCTAATTTAAATATGCAAGTGAATTGTTCCACCTCTTTGCAACAATATGCCACACTAACCACACTGCAGCTGCCACCGTATATGCAAAACTCACTCTTCAAACCCCTACCGCCCCAGCCTGTCCTGAACCGTCTCATGGGATCATCATTTGTAATCAGTCTGTTCGAAGGGATATATCAATTTGTGGCAACTATGTCTTTCGGTCCACTTTGGGGAAGATTCTCAAGTGAAAATCCTCCTGAACTGTCTCCTAATTGTCAATGAAGATATACTTCCAAAGATCCAATGCAGTTTATAACCATGCAGGGGATCCAAAGCCATTATAATTGTCTTCCACAAATCTAAGAGGAAGATCTAGAACAGTGCAACGAGTTTTACATTGTCTTCATGGATCTGTAAGAGGCCTTTGACTCCATTAACCACAAAGCCTTTCAAAAAGTCCTCTGTGGTTGTCCAGTAAAGGCTATTTGTAACCTGCAACTCTTCAATGACAGTATGCCACCAACCTTTTTTTGCAATGGATTGCAGACTTAGCCCTTTCATATCTGGACAGGCTTCTACCGACTTCTGGAATTCATTTGTGGCCAACCTTCTACAAGGAACCATAATTGAGTTTTGACTTAACAGGATGCTTTTCAACTTAAATTGGCTGAGCACCAAGACTCGGCTGAGCTCCAACATATTCAAGACTTAAAGTATGCTGACAACTGTGTGGTTGTGACCCACACTGCAAGCAACATTCAGACCCACCCTCTGTTTCTTAACCTCTACAAAGAGGTTTGTCTGTGGCTCGACAATAGCAAGATCAAAATTCTCAACCAGGCCTCCTGCAAACAAGTATGTGAACATCCAACATAAGGTGTTAATATTGAGTTGAAAGAGCAGAGATTGAAATTGATTTTTATCCAGAGCGCTCCTTGAAATTTTCTGAAGGGTTACTTTATTTTCAGAGTCTATGTTTTGGTTTCCAGATGATCCTTTTTCACTCTCACTAATTCATTGATTAGGTGATACAGTGAAGTACCTGCTGCACTTGTCTATTGTATTGTCTCCACTTTGAGAGAGACAAAACTATTGTGAAATTAATGCAATGAAACTGGGATACAATAAGACTGAAATTTTTAAGCACTGGTAAGAATTTTAGATTGAATTCCAACACAACCACCTCATCTACAAAAGATTATGTTGTACTCGGAGAACTCAATGAATTAAAATTTGTGGTTTAGGCCTAATTTATAGTTTGTTTTTTTTTAAATGAAAGCATTCAATATTAGAATTTGAAGAAATTCCATTTTAGTTAAGCTCCTTTCAAAAAACATTGTCAAAAATGCCAACATTTCTGCAAATTAAAATGCAATTTGTTTAATGGAAAACTAAATTCTATTCTGTACTAACAACAAATAATAATCTGCAGCCTTCATAAGTAAATGCTTATGTCTTACAGTTTTTCCAACTGTGGAGAATGGAGATAGGAAATAAGCTACTTATGGTCCATTACACAATTTTTCCACTTTTATGGACTCTGGTATTAACAAAAGCTTATTTGATTGTGCTGCATGACTCATTTTAATCGAGATTGTCAGTTTCTTCTTGATCCTGATCCTTTCTCAATTACGTTTTCAATTGTGATATCAACCCTTTGACATTAAGTGACCTAGTTTGAACTCACCGAAGAGTTTTCACCTACAAATGAAATTGAAATTTCAGCTCTGTTTTGGTGCACACAGCTTAGTGGATTTATTTTACAACATTCTGTCTTCTAAGATGTGTTTGGCAGGATCTTTAGTGCTTCACTTAGAAAGATAAGTGTAACTGTGCATCTTGTAACTTGCATCTGAATTCTAAACATTGCAAAATGCCATTAACTTTATAAGTCAATGGTTTCCAGACTTTATTCAGTGCATCCTTTGTAGCATGGTAGTTTAATATTTTGACCCCTTTAAGTGACCAAATATCATACAAATTTTACAAATAATAGACATACACAAACTATTTATCTAAAAGTGTTACTCATCATTCAGTTGATGGATAATTTGCTTTTTAGACCATGGGTGCCAATTTTTAGAAATGTTGGTAATTATTTGAATTGTTTTCTGCACAAAAGCATTGACAAAAATGGTAAGCAGGGTTAGTGAGTTTGGTGTGATTTACATCTGTACTATGCTGGGACTAGTATTCTGGTACATTGTGTATCTAGGGCAGTAAAGACTGTTCTAAATTAAATAATGGGATGAGGGATCAAGTTTGGGAAGATGAGATAAATTGAGTAGAGAAAACAAGATGATAATCAGGACAATAATGATCATAGCCTGTGAGGAAGGGTCAATATTTGCAAATCAAGGTACACCAACCCAGCCAGTTACTGCCCCATTTGTCTGCTTTTGGTCATTGGTAAAGTGATGGAAGGTGTCATCAACCTATTACGCAGCACAGCACCTGCTCAGCAATAACCTGCTCAGCGATGCCCAGCTTGGGTTCCACCATGGCCACTTAGTTCCTGATCTTATTACAGCCTTGGTTCAAACATGAACAAAAGACCTGAATTCCAGAAGTGAGGTGAAAGCGACAGTCCTTGACATCAAAGCTGCATTTGACTGACTTTGTGATCATCAAGCCCTAGCAAAACTGGAATCACTGGGTATCGGAGGCAAACTCTCGAGTGGTTAGAATCATACCTGGCACATGGGAAGATGGATTTGGCTGTTGGAGGTCAGTCATTCAGCTCTAGGACATCTCTGTAAGAGTTCCTCAGGATAGTATCCTCGGCCCAAACATCTTTCGCTGCTTCGTCCCCATTGTAAAGTCAGAAGTAGGGACTGCACAATGTTCAACACCATTTGCGACTCTTTAGATACTGATGCAGTCCAAGTTCAAATGCCACAAGCTCTGGGCAATATCTAGGCTTGGGATGACAAGTGGCAAGTAACATTCACACCACATAAATGCCAGGCAATGACCGTCATCAGTAAGAGACCATCTAATCACTGCTTTTTGACATTGAATGGTGTTAACGTCACTGAATTCCCCACTATCAATATCCTGGGGGTTACTATTGACCAAAAACTCAAGTGGGCTCACCACATAAACACTGGCTACAAGAGCAGGCCAGAGGTTAGGAATACTGTAGCAAGTAATTGACCTCCTGACTCCCAAAACCTATCTACCATCTACAAGGCACAAGTCAGGAGTGCAATGGAATACTCCACCATTTGTCTGGATGGTTGCAGTTCCAACAATACTTGGAAAGCTCCACACCATCCGGGACTCTTACAGGGATGTCCTAGAGCTGAATGACTGACCTCCAACAGCCAAATCCATCTTCCCATGTGCCAGGTATGATTCTAACCACTCGAGAGTTTGCCTCCGATACCCAATGATTCCAGTTTTGCTCGGGCTTGTTGATCACATACTCAGTCAAATGCAGCTTTGATGTCAAGGACTGTCGCTTTCACCTCACTTCTGGAATTCAGGTCTTTTGTTCATGTTTGAACCAAGGCTGTAATAAGATCAGGAACTACGTGGCCATGGTGGAACCCAAGCTGGGCATCGCTGAGCAGGTGCTGTGCGTCTTAATAGGTTCGTGACACCTTCCATCACTTTACCAGTGACCAAAAGCAGACAAATGGGGCAGTAATTGACTGGGTTGGTGTACTTTGATTTGGTGCCCTTTTGATTGGCACCCCATCCACAAGCATCCACTCCCTCCACCACCAACACTCAGTAGCAGCAATGTGTTGTATCTACAAGATGTGCTGCAGAAATTCAACAAACATCCTTAGATGCCACTTCCCAACCCATGACCTCTTCCACCATGAAGGACAAGGGCAGCAGAAACTAGGAACACGATCACCTGCAAGCTCCCTTCTAAGCCAATCACCATCCTGACTTCAAAATATGTCACTGGTCCTTCACTGGTGGGTCAATATCCTGGAATTTCCTCCCTAAGGGCATTGTGGGTCAATCTACAGCATGTGGACTGCAGCGGTTCAAGAAGGCAGCTCACCACCACCTTCTGCAAGGCAGCTAGGGATGGGCAATCAGTGCTGGCCAGCCAGCGACGCCCATATCCTATGAGTTTTTTTTAAATGAGATTAATCTGGAGGGAACAAAGATAGTAAAAGAACATAACAAATTGCTCTTTATCTGAATGCATGTAGCATTTGGAACAAAACAGTTGAGTTGACTGTGCAGATAAAAATAAATATGTATGATCAGATAGCCATAACACAGATGTGGCTGCAAACTTGAGTAGAGATTATAAATAGTAAAGCTAG